TTGGTTCCTTCGCATGACATTATTGAAGAAGAGATACTCCCACGATTACCAGTCAAAACACTGAAGCGATTCCGGTGTGTCTCCAAGATGTGGAGAAACATTATATCCGATTCTAAGTTCACCCTGTTGTCTGCCCCTAGACGGCAACGCCTTCTGTTGATTTATCCTCCTCGCTCCTCGAATTCAATTCCTGGCGTGAAATCGAATTACTTCTACTCAATCGACGGCGACCTCAAGATTGAGAAGCTCCCAGATCCTCATCTCATTATTGATGGTGATCAAAATCCAATTCCAGGGTTCGATGCGTATTTGGGTTCTTGTAATGGGCTAGTTAGCTTTTGGGCTCAATTTACATCTGGCCTTGAAGCATTGTTTTTATGGAACCCATCCACGGGTTCATGTAGAACCTTCGCTCATCTCCACCAAATGGTGGTTGCATCCTGCATTGGGGATAGTCTAGCTGGAATGTGCTTTGATAAATCATCGGAAGGCTGCCTATTGGTGGTAGTGTGTTTTCCTCATGAAGAAGATAAAGCATATGTTTTTGTTGAGAGTTTAAAGGAAAAAGAACATCAAATAGGGGAGATGCCAGAAGTGGTAGCATCAGACATCTCTTTTCCTTATGACTTCCCCCAACACACTCACAGGAGCCCATCAGTTGGGGTTTTACTGAATGGTCATTTGCATTGGATTGTGGAGAGCAAGGTCGATGAATCAAGATTGATTGTTTATTTTGAACAGGAGATGAGCCGCTTTGGTGAATTAGCGCTGCCTCAACTTGATGAATCTGATGATGATTCTGATGATGATGGCGTCTCTGGTAACTACTTTGGACTTTGCGTTTTGCATGACTGTCTTTGTGTGATTTATGGGGATAAGAATTTGATGGATGATTATCATTGTGAGGTCTTCATTATGAGGGAGTATGGTAATCAAGAGTCTTGGGATATTTTGTTTGCTGTTAGAGGACTAATTATGCCTCTCTACATTGGTGTCCCTGATAAGGTGATGGTTTTCTCTTCAAAGTCTGGAAAATTGTACACTTACGACTTAGAAACCGATGTTATCATGGAAATTGATTGCCCCCCTTCTGGTTTGTTGCCCAAGGTCGTTGGTGGTTCTGATGATGGCAAAGAAATACCACTATGTAAGGAAATGTGTCTACATCCTCTTCTGTATCTTGAGAGTTTGGCATCAGTTTGAATGATTCAATGGTTTTTCGTTCGAAATTGTTGTTTGTGCCTACCTGCAATTTGGGTTCTGGGATTATGCATAGGCATAATGGTTGCGGAAGTAGTGGTAGTGGTAGTAGTATTAGTAATATTAGTAGACTGTAGAAGACGATCTGCTGTTATAATTGGAACTGAACTTTGATATCCTTGTGGTAGTAGTATTATAGTAGTAATAGTAGTAGAAGAAGACAATTTGCTGAACTTGAACTTTGAAATCCTTCGTCTCTTCTGGTTTTCTGTTCATGCCAAGTAGAAGTGCTTTTTAAGTTTTCCTAAGAGTCTATTCTGCTCGTAATGTCATGTCCTGTATTGTTTTCTTCACTACTTTAGAACATCAAGGCTTCATGAAGAGAAAAACAAAGGAAAGAAACGCAGCTTCAACAGCCGAGATTGTAATAAATTTTGGAAGAAATCAACCTAAATTAAGGAATGTAAAAAAGATAGTAGTATTTTCCGTGATTTGATGGAGGCCTAACTTTAAAGTGCTGGGTTATATGGGATGGAGGACAGAATCAGTTCTTCCCTTTTTTGATATTGATGCTATTTTGAGTAGAAAATTAGCAGAATGTCATATTGCCTTCAAAAAGTAAAGTACTCTACAAATTATTTGCTTACACTAAATCAAAGCAATTTAGATAGAATTCCATATTTTGGAAGAGCACAAAAGGTTGTAGGGTCTGACTGCAGCATCCCAAAAAATTTTCAGATGTTGCCGGAACTGTACCGGAAGAATTGGGAAGAGGAAAATTCAAAATTGGGAGTTGGAAGGAAAAAGTCCGGTAATCTCTGTTTTACGCTGCGCTGATATCACACGTGCAATATTTTTTGACGTACCTGATCGGACCATGATAATAATAATAATAATAATAATAATAATAATAATAATAATAATAATAATAATAAATAATGAACTTAGAATACCAAAAAAAAAATATTGACAATCCTATTCCAATTATGAATCTTATAACAAGCAGGAACCGCGCCCCCTTTTTTCCCTATAAAAACGTATCAATAGATAGAAGTCATTATTATTCCGTAGGGTAACTAGCAACGTTAAATGCAGAGATTTAAAATTATTCTTCAAAAGTTCACAAGTATTCTTTTTCTATCGGTACCAGATGCGGAAATCGAAAGCTAGTAGGGTTGATGAATCTTGGACACTCCCCGTAGATTTAATTTGGGAAATTCTAAAATTGATTCCCGTCAAAACCTTGCTTAGGTGTAAGTGTGTGTGCAAACTTTGGTTATCCATAACTCGAGATCCGTTGTTCATCTCATCATATGCCGGCGGTTTCAAAGGTCTTCTTGTCACTCGTTCACATCGTGACATATATCAGAATCATGATTTCTTTTACATGAATTTATCATCCGAAGGTCATCATAATAACAAGGATGATGGAGTCTCAAGCCACATCTCGGAGTTTCACACCCTAAACCTAGGCCAGCCCATGAAATCCAAAGCTCCTGTAAACGGCCTTGTATGCTTCTATCATGGCAAAAACTCGTGTATCTACAACATTGCCACCAGGGAAACGATGGATCTTCCCGTCTCGAATTGCGATCTCGATATCTGCGACTACCATCTTGGGTATGATCCCTTTAACAGAGTGTACAAGGTACTCAAGACATGCACCCTCAATGGAGGTCGGGGCAATTGTCCACGTCCCAGACATAAGCATATATTGAACTGCGAAGTTTTAACCATAGGTGTTGATTCGTCCTGGCGTAGTATTGATCCTGCGCCTTGGGAGTTAAGCAGCAGTGCTTATTGTGGGAATGGAGGACTCTATTGGGACAGTAACTTTTCCTGGTCCACTGGAGTATCCCAATTTATCTGTTTTGACCTTGTTCAAGAGAATTTCAAATTCATCACTAAACCCCGGATGACAGGAACATTTAGGTGGTTGTTTGGACCAAAACCCGCCGTAGAAAGGTGTTCCAATGTGTTCTACAACAACCACGAGGGTGATCATCCTATGGGGCCTTGGATAGATAACGAGCTTCGTTCATATAAACGGGCAACTAATTTCTTCGAGGACATTAATAATCTCAGCTCCTGGACAGAGCACAATATCCGCGTACCAGAAGGAAAAGCTGTCACTACACTCCCCAATGGAGACGTGATTTTCCTGAAAAGTTATCCTAGCAATTGGAAGTTTCCGATGCCGTTTTATGTATATCAGCGAACCAGTAGGGAGCTCAAGAAGCGTTTCATAGCGGACTGTCCTTCATCATCCATTGCACAAGAATGCTTGCTCAACTTAACTGAGCCTGTCGAAGCTTTGTATTTTGAGGAGAATATCACCCCGTTGAGTTGTTTAGGTTCTAGCTAAGTGTGTGTTATCTTATTTTGTCTATTTTGCATTTATTCGGATTCTCAGGTTCTTGCATTATACGATTTTAATCCTATTTTCAGCACCTAACTCTACAACGATATACATTCGCTTCAATCTCTATAAATGACTGCAGTACATATCTATAATTAGTGTTCAATTGGTTAATATTATAATCCCAATTCTTCTTATTATCGAACAATGTCAAATACTCCCTCTGTCCTGATATTATTGTCGAGTTTAGGTTTTCATTTCTAATACAAATTAAACTAGAAATGAAATCCAAATTGAACAATCATTTTGGATAGGAAGAATATACAGGTTATTCAAAAAAAATACTCTCATTCTCTTAAGAATATTGAATCACACAGATTATAAATAATACGAAGCACCCAAAGAATACTTCAACTTAAAGTTTTGAGCATTTTACAATTCGTGTTTCACAGATTACGTGCGGCCGGATTAAATAGTTGATGACCCCGATTAGATCTTCAATTCACACATGGGTTGACGATTTTCTTTAACAAAGTATATTGACACTTATAACCTTAGTTAAAAACAAAAATTAGCAAGTTAGGCATTTATTTCATTATACTATATACTATTTTTTGGGAGGGAGGGAGTAGTATTTTCTTTTAGGAAAAAAATTACATCAAGTTTAACAAATGCATAGCACAAGCGTAAATGTTCTTTCTATCATAGAAGACTGTCCATTTTGTTGATTTATAACCGCACAATAAATGGATTATTTTTCTTGAGAAAGAAAGAGTACTATACAACCTAAGCTTTTTTCATGATAACTAATCTTGTACTATAACTCTGTTACACCAACGTTTTGATGCCATTTATAAACCATAACCACTTTATAGACCGCACAAAAAAAAAAAGAAGATATTTCTGCATCTTAGGCATCAATGGGCATTATTGGAGGCACTTGAATAGGGAATTCATCAATTTCACCATTCCAATGATTGTTCTCTTTAGATGGATGAATTGACATCTTAGGCATCAATGGGCATTATTGCATTTGAATCCTGAACCAAAAGCAATATGCAAAGAACGATCCCCGTTTTGAATTCTCCCCTTAGTCTCAACATAAGCCAATTCATACCACAATGAACTCGTAGAAGTGTTGCCAAACAATGTCGAGCTGAATGGAAAAGTGGTCGAAACAGTGAAATGAAACAAAAAAAAATTTGAAAATAGAATGTTTGAGACTACAATATTGAAATTTTAATGTTAAAGACATAAATTCAAGTAAACCCAAATGTAAAGGAACATTTAGACATTTTACTCTATATATAAAGCCAAGGAAGGGGGATTTCCCTTATCACTTTGATAAACTATATCAGCTTCCTTTCTTGCATCAGCCAAGGAAGGGGGATTTTCGGGTTTACGAAATTATGATTCGGCTGCGTATATTTTCTCCCCGAACCCGGATCTGTCAAGTTGTTTGAAGCACATTAGTTGAGGTCCAGGCTTGTAACATGCAAAATCTACTAAGTAAACTCTCCTAGGTTTGGACATATAATTAACTTTACCTAGGAAAATCATAAAGACAGAATGGGAAGGAAGTACAGCAACAAATCCAAACCTGAAATCATCCCATAGTAGGATCAATTCGTCGATCCAAAACATGGAAAAATGAACAAACAGAACCAGGAACAGGGGAATTGATGTCAGATACATTACGTGAAATATCAGATAATGGTAACCAAGTTTCATATATTTGAGAGAACGTTTGGAACATAAAGCAGTACAATTCTTCTGGGTAATGATCATCAAACCGGAATTATGTTGTTTCTGATGTTGATTTCATTGTATGAGCCTTATCCATGGGCAGAGGAAAATGTAGAATCAAATACTGTGTTAGAGTAATTGTAGGGATTTGATTAGATTATATTAATTAATTTCATCTTTTCTATGAGTTAATGCTACAGATTTGGTAGGAACATAACTCTTTTGTATAAATACTGGATAGTAATTCATCAATAAACACACAACTTTGCTCAAATCCTCATATTTATCTCTGATACACAAAAGGGAAGATGTCAAGAACAATTTGTATCGAATCTTTGAATATGAAGAAAATTAATGATGACCCTGTTTATTTTCTTTTCCCTCAATTCAGAGTACACCATAAAATCTCATAACCTCATTCCATACGTATTTTTCATTAATGTAAGGTGGAATGTATAACAGTGGGTGTACATTTTCTCAACTGTCGTTTTTTACACATATTTGCTGGCGTCCATCATCGAGAATATTAACTAATTATTTTGTTAAATCACTTATTTCTTTCGTCCCAAAATGATTGTCCGACTAGTTTAAATATTCGCTTTTAGTTCAATTTGTATTTAAAAAAAAACTCAAACTGTACAATAATTTCAGGACAGAGGGAGTATATTTTAACCATAAACTATGTATTATCAAAATCTGGGCATTCGATATTATGTAATAATTGCAAAACAAATTGATTTTTTTTTTTGTTTTTTTTGGGTGGAACAAAAAGAAGCAGATAAATGAAATGAGACACTAACTGTGGTACAAGGACACTGGACATATATATGAAGTATAGGTCCCTTAACTAGAGTTGTAATGATATGTTATTCGTTGGAGGACAATTTACATTACGGTAGTCAGATCGCTTGCTTTAGCCTTTAGTCTTCATTAGTTTACATAAATCCAATGTTGTAAACTTGTAATCATTTGTTCTTATTTTTTCATCATACGATTTGTATTTCCGACATGTAGCTTTCGCCTTACAGGTAGTGCTTGTGTGCATCATACTCAGTCAAGCACACCAGGTAATTAGCTTCCTTCGTTTCGTAGTTTTCACTTTTTCTATCTTGATATAAAGTTCTTTTTATCAAATTATTTCATTGCAATAAACATGAATTTTTTCAAAACGAAAATTGTAATTCTTTTTTTTTTTTGGTTAACGAAAAGTACACTAAGTTATATCTTTTAGTGCGTATCTCAAGTTCTTACAAATTCATTCTCCACAAATAGGGATATACATAACGGGGTTACATCAAAAAAATATACACTCTTAACTAGATTAAGCGCCTCTTTTACTAAGTAATTGGCACATTCATTTTTAACTTTAGAAATAAGCAAAATACGGACCTCCCAATTTTCTGATAAGAGTTGCTGGATTTTTCTGAGGTCATGATCCAGCATGTAATTCATCTTTAAATTGTAATTCATTTTAAAGAGAACTTCTGAGCCTCCATAGTCTATATATATATATATAGTGTGTTGGTGATATGACGCATTCTCCAATTGAATGCTTGATGTCGGAAATAGTGTATATGAGCCTCCACCCATCGACGAGTGACGATAGTGTTTGTCCCCACTGCATAGCTTGAATTGGATTAGTTCAAATATTAGGTACCGAATATATTAAAGTAATAATAATAATACTTGTTCAACTTACATTTTGCTGGTTTTCATTCTACGGAAAAGAAAATAATGTCAAAGTTTTTTTTTTTCTTTTTGGTTAAACCCATTGAATTTAGTTTGCTTACTTTTAGTGAATAATTGTATACTTTTATTTTTTGATACAATAAAGGAGACCGAAAAGCCTAAATTACTAAGTTACTATATAGGAACATAATAATAATAATAATAATAATAATAATAATAATAATAATAATAATAATAAATAACATTCGAACCAACACCTTGATACTTTAACAAATACTATTATATTTTTATTTCGGGATCAAAGGAGCATCATAATTCAAAATTTCATCCCAAAAAGAACCTTAAATATTTGGAGAAGGAAAGGACATTTGTAGGATAGACATTGCACTTGATATTTCCATTCAAAAACCCCGAATATACATGAAGCTACTGTTACAAACAAACAAATAACATTGTGCAGTATGTTGGTATCTTACTACATTCCCATCCTAGAAAGACACTCCATACTCCATATTATAAATTTCAAAACGTACTAAAAACAGTTCATGTTGAAAATTTTGATGTGAAATTTTCTTTCATCGACAGAGGGAGCTTATGTGATTAGCGGACTTGATAATTGAGTTGTTATTCAAGAAACACCCGTAGGAGTCAGCATTTCTTTAAGACAAATTTTCTTTTGTTATTCCTGCTGAATGAACATTGCGAATAAAAAAAAAAAAGAAAATCATACCCTCTAAATAATCCACTGAAAAACTGAAACCCAAAACTAGTTTGTGAAATAATCCAACTTTTGATAAAAAGATGGGAGAAGAATTATTCTTTTGGAGTTGGCTTTGAAGGAGAAGAGAGTGAACTTTTAGATTTATTTAGATCAACTGTTAGTAGGGCTCTCACATATAAAAATCAGTCCTATATAATTTAAAAGAACACTTCGCCAAATTAATTAAAAGTTCTACTTCAAAAAGTCGAACCCGGGGGCGGAGCTAGGCCCCGAAAAAGTGATAGAGCAAGATTTTTAATATCACAAATTTAATACACTTATCCATTAATATTGTTAATTTAAGTAAGGCAAAATCTATTTTTCTTTAAAAAAGACATAAATTTTTAAGTGGTAATAACTATATAAAAAAAAAAAAATTCGGCTGGGGCAATTCTATATGTGGCTCCTCCCTTGGTCGAACCTAAAACATTCCTTCCTATTTCCTCATTAATTCTGCATTATATTTGTAGTAGTTAGGGTTTCGTGTAAGAAAAGTTTTTGTTTTTGTCTTATTTTTTTTTTTGTTTTTTGTTTTTTTTTGCTTTGATCTAAATTTTGCTTCCTCCCATTTCTACTTTAAACCAATTTGGAAATGACACTTGTTCTTTAGTACAAAAGGGGCAAAACACCTTAAAAATAAAATTACGACACTATTACGCTTTATTTCTAATAAGAAACACTAAACACTTTATTTCTAATAAGAAACACTAATAAAATCCTTCTTTTTTTATATATTTATTTTATCTCGGTGCCTCTCCTCTCTCTCCTTTAAACCTTAACTATTACAATTTTGATTATTTTGAACCCATAATTCCATTAAACTACATTATCTACCATTGATGCCACCGTAGAGAGTGGACAATCATTTTTTAGACCAGTTATTAGTGCTGCTCTCACATATACACATCAGTTCTACAAAATTTAAATGAACAATTGCTCATATTTTCTCAGTAATTCTGCATTTTAGAAACTTTACTATATATATATATATATATATATATATTTGTGACACAGTCCCACCATGATCTTTTTAATCTACTAGTATCTTTCATCATCGATCGTTAAATTTGTATCAGTTGTAACAGTACTCTTATTTGAATTAACTATTTTGATCACAATATATAATAAGCGATCCAGAGACTAATTAACAGTACTCTTTTTTAAAAAAAAAATAGGAAAAAAAAAAGCGAGCCAGAGACTATGCAATTGGTTCACCAACTAAATTGACGGATATTCAGTGGGCTGAAAATCGTTTAATTTCATTCCAAAGAAAACTACCTTAATTCGTATGGTGAGTGGAAAGAGACAATAAAGACTCATGAAATATATAAATCACCAAATTAGTCTTTAAAAAAAATAATTCAGCGAGCGTATTAGATCACTATTCTCGAAGGAGGATAGCGTCTTATATGCAATAATGCAAACGATAATAATAATTTCTCTAATAAAGGGCGACTGTATCTCCCTCCATCAAAAGAAAATAATCCAACGAATTGTATTATTCAATTCAACTTTTTATGGGACAAATAGAGCATATGATTGTGTTGTCGATGCATAATTTTCTAATTTCTTAAAAACAAATAATTTACTGGACTAAAACCCAAAACTAGTTTGTGAAAATAATCCAACTTTGATAGACATTAAAAAAAAAAAAGCGAAAAACGATTAAACCAAATTATTTCCTCTATCGTCCTATGATGAAAAGATGCGAGAAGAATTATTCTTTTGGAGTTGGCTTTGAGGGAGAAGAGAAAAGAGAGTTGTGGTTGTTAATTAGGATTTCAATTCATTCAAACCCACGAGTTCTTGGTAAGTACGTTACGGCAGAGAGTGGACTTTTTGATTTATTCAGATCAATTGGCTCTCAGTCTCTCACAAATACACATTAGTCCTGTATAATTTAAATGAACACTTGGCCAAATTGATTAAAAGTTCTACTTCAAAAAGTCGTACCTAAAACATTCCTTCCTATTTTCTCATTAAGTCTGCATTAGTGACGGATTTAAGGGGGGTCAGGGTAGTCGATCGACCCCCGACCGACTGGATTTGGCCAAATTTTTCTTTAGTAGGATGCCCATTAATTGAATTTTTTTTTCGACTCTCCGGTGACGATTGAATAATCTAATTTTCGAACCCGCAATTTTTTTGAAACTTCTCGTTCCGTCATTGTTATGCATTATTATATTTTTATGACACAGTCCCAACATGATATTCTTAATATTATTTCCTTCATCATCAATTGTTAAATTTGTTTTAATTGTAACAGTATTCTTATTTCTCCAGTTAAATTCACACCAGTTAAATTCACAGATCTTAAGCAAACGATCACGGTGCTGGAAAATTGTTTAATTTTATTTCAGAACAAAACTGTCTCAATTATTACGGTAAGGGAAAAAGAGATAATGATGACTCATTAACGTATAAATCACCAAATTACTCTTCCAAAACAATTCAAAAATGAAAATAATAATAATTATTATTGTTTCCTTCCTAAGAAAATAGTACAACAAGCGGTCTATTTTGTTTAAACTCAACAACTTTTGTGGATTAGAGCATAAAAATTTACATATGCCATATATAGAATTAATGAATCTTCGTACTCGGTATATAATCTTCTTACATCTTTTGTGGGAAAGCTTTTATATTTTTTCCCATATGAAAAGAATTACTCCCTCTGTCCCATAATTATTGTCCAGTTTTACTAAAATGAAAGATTTTAATTTTGGTCAAACTTAACTATATTTTACCTTAAACAACTGAATATACCCCTACATAAGTAATTGTTTAACCACTAAGATTTTATGGATAATGTTCTTTACTAAGGATAAATGTGTAACTTGATCCATAAAAAGTCAAATTGGACAATAATTTTGGGACAAAATTTTTTGGGCAAAGTGGACAATAATTATGGGACGGAGGGAGTAATACTTTGATTAATATTGACGGATTATTGAGCATTTACCGTTCAAGCGTAGAAATGATCAACTCACCCCTTCCTAATTCCTATATATATAGACATACATTCACTAATGAAACTCAAACAAACACTCCAAACAAATCATAAACACAGTTTCTTATAATTGTGCTATTTCTTGAGAAGGGAAATTTGATGGCTAAGTTTACGAACTATTGCATCCCCTTGTTGCTTCTTGCAGTGTGTAAGTTACTTTATATCATATCTTTCTCTCTTTTGAAGTAATTTTTGGCGCGCATTAGTCAATTATCATCGTATAATTTGTTTGGAATTGGTTTTTTTTATATATATATATATAATTTTGCATTAATAACTGTCACATCTCATCATACATTTTTTTAACTTTTCTGATACATATTTTTACATTCTTAATAGAAAAAAAATACTACTTTCCTTTTACATTAAGCCAATTTTATTTTCTTTCTGTCCCTTTTTGGCAGTGTTTGGGATTTTGGAACCAGTTGTGTCGGCCGGAGTTCATTCCACTAAAACCCGCGCCGAGTCCTGTGAAATAAATACGGAGGATCCACCACCTGAATTGGTCAATGAAATCACCCAGAAGATGCTTATCATGAAGACGATGCAGATGGCTAACGGAGTGGAAACTTCTGCAACCGCCGACAAGATCTTTCAGAGCGAGTTGTTGAGTCGACTTGCTGGTCCCATTCCATGCGGTGAAAGTTGCGTATTCCTGGGCTGCTTCCTCCCAGGTTGCAAATGCCAAGACAAAATATGTTATTTGAGGTTGAAATAACATGCAAGGACATGCTGCAAAGTGATGAAGAGACCACAACTATGGTCCGAATTTGAATGCTATTTGGGATTCTGTTTTTAAGTACTTCCTCCGTCCCAAAATTATTTTCCAGTTTCGATATTCACTTTTAGTTCAATTTGTGTTAAAACTGAAAAACCAACTGGACAAGAATTTCGGAACGGAGGAGGGAGTAATTTGGTTGGTTTGAAATTTGTATGTGGTGTGCTTTTGTTCCCCCTCTTCCTGGCATGAAGAGATTATCAGTACTTGTTGCTTTTATTTTGTGTGCGCATTTCCCTTTTAAGTGTCGTTGTTGAATTCCTGTATCATGGTTTGTATAATACTCATCAATAAATAAAGGAAAAAAATTTGTTATTGTTATTATTTGTTTTAATCCCTGTCTTCCTTCTCTTTCACTCATTGCTCGATCTTCTTCTCCTTCACAATCGCAATTAATTCATTTCAAAGTATACATTACAACATCAACGACCATTTAACCTCTTGATTCATCTCTAAATCCTATTTCTGAAATGCAATCTTAAGCTTTAGAACGATGCTCTTTTGGGAACAAAAAAGAGTTCCAGTTGATCGTATGGTTCTTGATCAATAAGAACTCAGCATGGCATGCTAAAATCATGTACCCCTGATGTCCCAATATTAGTATCTAGTTTAACATTTCACTCTTAGTATAACTTAACTAAAAATGAAAACTCAAACTCAAGATTAATAGTTTTGAGACAGAAGCAATATTAAATGTAAATTTGTAGACCTTCTTGATTAATTAACTGATGACTCCAGCTTAAAAGTAAGAGTACCACAGACTCGTACCTTCAAACCATGTTAGTTTTTTTTTTTTTCTTTCTTTGGAATTTTGAGTAACAATTACAAGGTATTTGTTGATTAATTGAGATTGTTGATATTTCAAAAGAACAAAAACAAATTTGTTAGATGAGTTGTTATTGTTACAAACAAACAAATAATATGGTGCATTATATGCGTTGTTATTTTACTACTCCTTCCCTCCCAAAAACATTTCACATTGAAAATTTTAAAAATATACTAAAAGTTGTTCATTTTGAAATTTTTACTGTGGATTTTTTTTTTTTTAGACAATGGGAATATATGTGTTTGTTCCCTTCTAGCATTGCTAGCAGAGATGTTATTCAAGAAACATCCATAAGAGTCAACATTTATTGCAAGTAGAGGCGGAGACCTGTGCAGCCGCACCCCCTTCGATTTTAATTTTTTAACAATTATTATATAATAATTAGGTAAAAAAATGTAACGTTTGCACCCTCTAAAAAATTTATTATAATAGCTATAATTCTTTGATTAATTAATTTATGTACAAAAATTTATAACAATATGTTTTATGCTCAAAGTTTGTATATTTTAAGTAAAAAATATTAAATAGCAAAAAGTTTTGCATAAATATATTAGACTTTCCTATTTTCTAAAATGGTAATATTGTAAAGTCCATTAAAAACAATAAAAAGATTGTAAGTCAAATGCCCAAATCAAAATGCTTCTATAGCAAGTTCTTTAGAGCCCATTAGCTGAGGCCCAGGCTTGTAGCATGCAAAATCTACCAAGTAAACTTTCTTAGGTTGGACATATAAGTAACTGTACCCTTGAAAATCATAAGAGCATCTCCAACGCGTCTGCTAAATCGAGCTGACGCGTTGGATTTGGAGGAGTTAGGTGCTCCAACGGACTTCGCCACGCTCCGCTATTCCTACCAAAGAGCTCTGCTCTCTGCTATGGCTGAAGGAGTTCTATTCATCCGCTCCTTCATCCGGTGGCCCCAATCTCCTTTATTTCTAATTTTTTTAATTAAATTTTTTGGATAAATTAGGGTTTCTGTTGGGCTTTTAATATTTATGGGCCAATTTAGTTCACCTTGGACCGTATATATTTACAACTTTTTGTAATTCCTTA